TGATGGTGATGTCTGAGGAGGAGGAAGCAGAGGAGGAGGAGGAGGAGGAGGAGGTGGATGAGGCGGAGGGGAGGAGGAGGTGTAGGAGGAGGAGGAGGAGGAGGAGGAGGAGGAGGAGGAGAGGAGGAGGAGGAGGGGGAGGGGAGGAGGAGAGAGGAGGAGGAGGAGGAGGAGGAGGATGAGGAAGAGGAAGAGGAGAATAAGGAGGAGGAGGAGGAGGAACAGAAAGAGGAGGAGGAGGAGGAGGAGGAGGAGGAGGAGGAGGAGGAGGAGTCGCCACTTCCTCTCGAATGAGGAAGATCTGGGCGACCACGGCGGCCCCCAACGGGCCTTGGATTTCGTCGGGGGCGCGAGGCGCCTGTCGCCGCGGGATGGGAGGCGCCGACCCTGCGCTAGCCCTCTGAGGCTCTCGCGCCGCCCCGCGCCATGGCCCTTGCGAGGCTCGTGGCGGCGTGCGCGGCTGCCGCTGTCTGGATGCTCACGACGGGCCTCTACAACTCGCAGAGCTTGCAGACCTGGCGGGAGGCTCTCGCGCGCGAGGCGCTGCAGAATTTCGATGTGGTGGTGCGGCCTGGCACTCAGCAGCGCCAGAGAGACGCGATCCCCGTCACGGCCACCAGCACGACGAGGCACGTGGCTCTCGACGGGAAATGGCGCAGTGGACGGCTCACTGACAAGAGGTGCGGCATCACGATCATGATTGGTAGGAGCGTCAGCAACCACGTACGCCAGGTACTCAGCCCGCCGCCGAAGATTGGCATCACTGGGCGGGCGGGAGGTCTCAAGCGGGCGATGGCGCGGACCCCGATGCTGGGCGTCGGGGTTTACCTCACGCCGTATGGCACCCAGGAGGAGCGTACGGGGGCCACGCAGCGCATCTCAGGCTGGATCAACGACGAGGAGACGGAGACGGGAAACAAATACCTGGAGGTGATCGCTGGGGACAAGTAGCTGAGTTTCAATGACATAGACGAGGTGGCTGGACGTGATGGACGGCATAGGCGATCAAGGCAAATGCGATGGTGGGCGGTGTTAAACTACCTTACCGCGGCCAACACGCACTTCCTCCCGCTCGACAGCTACTACGGGTCGGAGCCGACCAGCTGGAGCGATCATGTGGTTGCTCCGCCCACGGCGATGGGGGTCGTGCCGAAGATCAGGATGCACCACTACCTGAGGCGCACGCTCTCACCATTCCCGACGGCTGAGCTTCGCGATCAGTACCTGACTGAGGCCCACATCACTTACGAGCTGAGCTACTCGCCGCTTCGGGGCGCCATGGAAAGGGTGGATCGGGACTCCTTCAGGAGGCGCTTGACGAAGGGCGAGCGGAGGCACGAGCTATGCGAGAAGAGTGAGACCGTTCTGAGCGCCGTTGATGCCGAGGGGAACCGCTCCGACTCCTACCCCGCCCATCTCTTCATGAAGGCGATCCGCGACACCAAGATCTCGCTCTTCCCGCCCACGAGGACGCTGTACAATGAGTACGAGCACTTGGTGGAAGAGAGGGTTCAGGCTCTGCGAGCTCTGGCGCACGCGGCACATGAACTTGCAGAGATGCAGGCTCGACGGGATGACACAGGCCACCACTGCCTCGAGCGCATCGAGATGGGTGCAGAAGCGCGGTTACGGCGTCTCACATGCGAGTGCAAGGACCACACCTACTACGAGCGGATCGAAGAGCTGAGGGAGGAGCGGCGGACCCGCGATTTCTCCAGAGCGCACGCGCTGAGGGGATGTCTCGCTGTCAGAGGGAAAGGCACCCGCAAGCGTACCTATATTGCTGTCAACTGCATGCTGGGCGCTGAGGAGTGGAAGCAGGAGATGGCCATGGAAGGAGTCGGGGGCGGCATGAGCGTGCTGACGACCTACTGGGACCAGGAGGGCGGCAGGAAGAAGAAGAATAAGCTCGCGACCGATTGTGGCACGGGTCTCGCCGCCGCCAGCCTCAGCGGGGTCTCCGACGCGATGGCCACCAGGCTGCAGGGGGTGCTGAACACGTTGCAGGGGCAGCGCAGCCTGGAGGGGGCAGTCCTCGACTTCTGCCTGGAGCCAGTGAACAGCGTCACGGTGGATGTGGTGGAGACGAGCGGTAAGGAGTACAACGATGCGGTGGAGTCCAAGGCGCTCACTCAGCAGGAGCTCGGCAGCCCGCGCGAGCAGATCGAGAAGAGAGTGATCAACAAGCTGGCCAACGCAGACATGAACAAAGGGCAGCAGGTCAGGCTGGCGCAGGGCGTGCGGTCACTCATGAACACGGCGCTGGAGGAGAGCCCAGCGATCACGGGCGAGATCTTCAAGGGGGTCATGTCCAAGCGCGCGAGGTTCGACGAGCAGGAGCAGATGACGATGGCCATCAGCCCGCACGTGCAGATACCGCCCAATTGGCTGGGCAAGCACGGCGAGGGAAAGAAGAAGGCGAACGAGGAGGCGACCAGGAAGAGCGACGTTGAGGGGACGCGGCGCCTGGCCGACATGCCGCTGGAGTCGACTCTCGTCAGGGACGGGTGGATGATGCTCCTCGCCATGCTGGAGGCCGAGGGGGCGGTGCTTGTCGACGGACAGGTCCAGGCTCGAGCGCGATCTGCAGAAGGAACTGGGCCAGAGCATGAAGCCGAGCTGAAGGCCCGTCGACATCAGGCGGCTGGTGAGACCGCGATGGTCGCTGCGGCTGGTAGCGAGCGTGAAAGTGAACTTCTGAGGGCCCTGGAGAGCAGGGTTTGCCCGACTGGGGTCGCTCCGAAGGAGAGCCCGCAGTCGGACGTGATGCACGGCGGGTCCCCTTCACCCCCAGGCTGTTCGGCGGGTTCTGGCCCTGGCGGCTCCGTCTAACAGCCCGAGGGAGGATGGAATCCGCGGTGCATGGATGCAGTCAGCGTCGGTCGCGCGTCGCGGGCCCCCCTGGCTGTATCGGACCCCGTCGCCGCACCTGCGGAGCGGGGCGCCGCCAGGCCCCCGCGGCCGCGCGCCGACCTCGTTCCCGACGTCACAGGGGCACACAATTTTGTTTGAGGTTTTTCGGCCTGGAACTCGGAATTCGGCGTCCAGAGCTTTGAGACCGGTTTTCGTTGCCCCCGATGTGTGTTTAGTTTAGTTTAGGAGGAGGAGGAGGATGAGGAGGAGGAGGAGGAGGATGAAACGGAGGAGGAAGAGGAGGAGGGGGGAGGCGGACGAGCAGGAGCAGGAGCAGGAGCAGGAGCAGGAGCAGGAGGAGGAGGCGGAGTAGTAGTAGTAGGAGGAGGAGGAGGAGGAGGAGGAGGAGGAGGAGGAGGAGGAGGAGGAGGAGGAGGAGGAGGAGAAGGAGGAGGAGGAAGAGGAAGAGGATGAGGAGGAGGCGGAGGAGGAGGAGGAGGAGCAAGAGGAGAAGGCACAGCAGCAGGCACAATAGCAGCAGCAGCAACAGCAGCAGCAGCAGCAGCAACAGCAGCAGCAGCCGCAGCAGCAGCAGCAGCAACAGCAGCATCAGCAGCAGGGGCGGTGGTGGCCGCGGCCGAGGCGGTGGCGGCGGCAGCAACTCTAGCAGCCGCAGGCGTAGCCGCAACCGCAGCCGCACTCGCAGCCGCAGCGGCAGCCGCAGCAGCAACAGCAGCAGCAGCAGCAGCAACATCAGCAGCAGCCGCAGCCGCAGCCGCAGCCGCAACCGCAGCCGTAACCGCTCTCGCAGCCGCCGCAACAACAGCAACAGCAGCAGCAGCCGCAGCAGCAGCAGCAACGAGGAGCAGCGAGGCGGAGCAGCGAGGAGGAGCAGCGAGCAGGAACAGCGACGAGGAGGAGAAGGAGGAGGAGGAGGAGGAGGAGGAGGAGGAGGAGGAGGAGGAGAAACGAAACAAGCCAGCGATCTCTGCGCTCTGTAGTGCATGCGCTTTCCGTCTCCGTGCTGGGCAGCTCTAATGGCTTTCGGACCATCCCGACACCGTGCCTCGGTTGCGGGTCATGTTCCTCAAGTGTGTTTCTTGGGTTCTCTTCGGGGCGCTCTTGGGGGCCTCTTGGGAACAGTTTTGGGGCCTCTTGAGGGCCTCTGGGGGGGCTCGTGGGAGCCTCCTGGGGCCCCTTTGGGACTTCCTGGGGGCCTCTTGGGGGCCTCTTGGGGCCTCTTGGGGCCTCCTGGGGGCCTCTCGGGAACGAGGGCTGCGGCCTCTTGGGCCGTCTTGGAGGCATCTTGGGCAGCCTTGGGGCCCTTTTTGGCTGTTTTGCTGCCCTCTTGGAGGCTTCGTGTGCCGTCTTGGAAAGTCGGGAAGCCGAAGCGGCGAGAACGCCCAAATCCGTCAAACACCGAGGTATACCCGTGACTTGGGCCTTTGGGGGTGTTCCTGGGAGGCCTCTTGGAGTCCCCATTGAGGGAGGAATATTGGCGATATCTTGGGCCGTCTTGGGGCCATCCTGGGCGTCTTGGAGCGATCTTTTGGCGACCCGTGGCCCTCTTGGACCGTCTTGGGGGCCTCACGGGTCCCTCTTGGCCCGTCCTGGGGCCCCAGGAGCCACGCGACGCACCCCAGAGGCCACGTGACGCGCCCTGGCAGATGCGGCAATGTTGGACCGGGGCCCTTCTTTCAAGGCGCGCGCCAGGGGGAGGGGGGTCCAGCGCCGATGTGAGAAGTCTGCGCGGACCTCCAAACATTTTGACGGCCGTGCCCCGACTTGGAATGCTTTTGGGGGCGCCTTGGGGCCATCTCGGGCCGTCCTGGGGCTCTCTTGGGACCACCTTGGGGGGCTGTTCGGCCGTCCTTGGGCTCTCCTGGGCCGTCTTGAAGCCCTTTTGGCCAGTCTTGGGGCGATCTTCACGGCCTCTTTGGCGACTGCGGACGCCCAAGAGATTGCAAAAACTGGCATCCCCAAATCACGCACAACCCTTTTAGGAGCATGAGCGGTGTTTGCGTTTGGGGAGCCTCTTTTGGGACCTGGTTCGTTACGTCTCGAGGTGGCTCGGTGCGAAGTCTTGCTTTTTGCGTGGCGTCAGCGGTGATGGGTAAGCCCCCGATCAGTATCCAGGGCCCCTCCAGGTGTCGCAGTTCTACTTGGACATGCTGCTCAACAGCCTCAGCTTTTTCCTGTACCAGTACGCGCAGCTGCGCGTCATGTCCCAGATGGCTCCTCTGAGCTTCTCCGTCCTTACGCCCGTCAGCAAGGCTGGTGTTGCCACTTCAGCTCTGGTACAGCAAGCTCCCGCCTTATGTATTGCATTACTTTCGTGCTCGGCTTCGTGCTTGGCTTGGTTGTCGCTCCCCAGGGCTGTCGCGCACGGTTTCCAGGTTGCCTGGCGGTGCTGTGGCCTCTGGGCCACCCACGTTCTTTCACAGCACTCGGAGGACAGACTCACTGACCATCCTAGACGGCATGGCGGGCCGTCGCCTGCCGAGGGCATCGCCAAGTGGGCAATCAAGTTCGGCAGGCTAAAGTATCGCCAGGTAGCCAGACAGTACCGTGAGGACGAGTAATTTCCCAAGGGGGCCCTTTCCTTTACCTTTCTGCCCATCCTAGCCCTTAGCCACGGGCCATGGGCTTCCAACGTCGTCCTCAAGTTGGGCGTTAAAGGGCCCCGCATCCTTACCTCGCATCCTCATGACCTGGTCGCGCTGTAGGGCAGCGGAAACGAGGGGTCACCAGCCAGTGGACACGGAGCCGCAGGCCACAGAGTTGGCCCGCTCCAGCTACTGGAGCTGGCACGCAGCCTCCCTGTCCTGTCCTGTCGTCCTGTCGGGCGGGTGGTAATACGGGGTGACTTACTTTGGGGGTGAAGAAATGTTCCCTGAAGGGACCCTTTAGGGCCCCTTTTGGGCCACTGCTGGCTCCTTCAGGGGCCCTACAGGATCTTCTATTCGTGCCTGGTCTGGGCCAGGTCATGGCGCGGCGCAAATACGGGGGCGGCGGAGTGGGAAGGGGGTCCCTGCTGCGAGGGCAGGGGTGGCCTCTCGTAGGGGTGCTGCCCCTCAAGCTTTTTTGTTTTTGTTCCCACAGTGCCTTGCATTTATGGATTCTTGCGGTCGGACCGAAGGATAATATCGAGGTCAGTTCGGGGTGGGTGCCCTAATGTGTTTCCGTGTTTGTTGGATGTTCTTGTGCATCCTGGGGGCGGGCATCTTCGAATGTTCTTCAGTTTGGCCGGCGGATGGTCTCATATTCGTGGATGATGTTCTTCTGTCCTAGGTCCCGCCGTAGGGGTTCTCATTCCTTTCCAAGGAACTGGGCTGGTGCTGCGGTCTGGTGGCTATGTTGTCGCCGTCGCCGCCCCGTCTCCGCCTCGTCGCTGCATACATAGTTTTGCACACCGCATTAATATTACAACATGTATTGCGCACCACATAGATTCTCCTGTTTAAAGATGCAATAGGATCTATCCCCCCGCGGGCGTCGCGGTTCCCAGTGCGATCATATAGTTTACATGGCATTCTGCCCCATCGTTCTTTTGACATATGAACTCGTACTTTTCTAGTTAACCTCTGATCTCCCCCTTCATATGTGTCAAAACATGCTCTGCGTGCGCACTGGTTTGTCACCAATCATCTATGTTCGAGAATCCCTGGTCAAAAAGTAAAAGAATGTCCATTCGCGCCCGGGTCGTTGCGCGCATGCAGAACATTGTTTAAAAAAGACCTCGGGTTTCGTAACGATTGCACGACCGACTTTCCAGAAAGCGTGCAATTTTTCTATTTTTGTAACCTGGCTTTTCAGAAAAAATCGGCACGCACGGTTTTGCGAATTCTTAAGAATCGATGCGCTTCAATGTCTTCAAGGAGTGCGACCAAACGGGCCTCCCGCGCGCACATGTCGAAATTATTGAAAGAGCGTGTTCTACCGCTGCTGGCAGAAAACCGGGGGGGGGTCACTACCGTTTCGAACCACCCCCCACCCCCCCTCCCCCAATCCATCATGAAAAAGTGGGGAGGTCACTACCGGTTCGAACCCCCCCCTTCGAAAACCGGGGGGCGTCACTACCGGTTCGAACTCCTCCCCCCCCCCTTCGAAAACCGGGGGGGGGCACTACGGGGCACTACCGGTTCGCCCCCCCCCCCCCCCCCCTCCGCCGCCGGGGCGAGGAGAGTGGGGACATTGACACATTGGTGGGGGCACTGGTGGGGACAGCGGGGACAATGGTGGGAACAGTGGGGACAGTGGGACAGTGGCGGGGACGGTGGTGGTGGGGACAGTGGTGTGGGGACAGTGGAAATGTGGTGGAAACAGTGGGACAGTGGAGGGTACAGTGGTGGTGGGGACAGTGGTGAGGGCGGTGGCGAGGACGGCGGTGGGACAATGAGACAGATGTACAGTGGGGACAGTGGTGGGGACAGTGGGGACAGTGGTGGGAACAGTGGGACAGCTCAGTGGGACAGCGGAAGAGACATTTGGACAGCGGGGACAGTGGGGACAGTCGGGCAGTGGTTGGGGCCGTGGAGAAAGTGGTGAGAGTGGAACCGTGGTGGGAACAGTGGTGGGGACAGGGGGGACAATGCGACAGTGGTGGGGGCACTGGTCGGGACAGTGGGGACGGTGGTGGAACCAGTGGAGACAGTGGTGGTGAGGACAGTGGTGCTGGGGACAGAAGTGGGGGATGTGGTGCGGACTGTGGTAGGGACCGGGAGTCGTTTGCTGGCGGTGAGCGGTGAGCGTGGGGGCGGGGGGAAGGGGAGGGGTTCGAACCGGTAGTGACTCCCTCCGGTTTTCGAGGGGGGGGGTCGACCCGGTAGTGACCCCCCCCGGTTTTCGAGGGGGGGGGTTCGAACCGGCAATGACCCCTCTCGGTTTTCCGGAGGGGGGGGATTGGGCGGAGGGGACGCATGCGAACACACCCACTTGGGCATTCGGTGGAGCTCCCTATGGGGCCATGAGGCGTTCACCTGGGTGGGGGGGGCGCATGCGAACACCCCCACAGGGGCCTTCGGTGGAGCCCCCCATGGAGCCGCGAAGGGCGCATGCGAACAGCCCCGCGGGGGCCTTCGGTGGAGCTCCCTATGGGGCCACGAAACGCTGTCCTGGGTAGGGGGGGCGCATGCGAACACCCCCACGGGGGCCTTCGGTGGAGCTCCCCATGGAGCCACGCAGCGCTGTCCTGGGTTGGTGGGTGGGGGGGGAGGGGGGCGCATGCGAACACCCCCACGGGGGCCTTCGGTGGAGCTCCCTATGGGGCCACGAAGCCCTGTCGTGGGTGGCGGGGGCGCATGCAAACACCCCCACGGGGGCCTTCGGTGGAGCTCCCTATGGGGCCACGGCCACGAAGCGCTGCCCTGGGTGGGGGGGGCGCATGCGAACACCCCCACGGGGGCCTTCGGTGGAGCTCCCCATGGAGCCACGCAACGCTGTCCTGGGTGGGGGGGGGACGCATGCGAACACCTTCACGAGGGCCTTCGGTGGAGCTCCCTATGGGGCCAAAAAAGCGCTGTCTTGGGTGGGAGGGGCGCATGCGAACACCCCCACGGGGGCCTTCGGTGGAGCTCCCTCTGGGACCACGGGCGCGCTGTCTTGGGTGGTGGTGGTGGTGGGGGGGGGGGGGGCGCATGCGAACAGCCCCGCGGAGCCTTCGGTGGAGCTCCCTACGGGGCCACGAAGCGCTGTCCTGGGTGGGGGGGGGGCGCATGCGAACACCCCCACGGGGGCCTTCGGTGGAGCTCCCTATGGGACCACGAAGCGCTGCCCTGGGTGGGGGGGACGCATGCGAACACCTTCACGGGGGCCTTCGGTGGAGCTCCCTGTGAGGCCACGAAACGCTGTCCTGGGTGGTGATGGGTGATGGTGACGGTGGTGACGATGGTGACGATGGTGTGGGGTGAGGGAGGGGATGGATGGTGATGATGGTGACGATGGTGTGGGGTGAGGGAGGGGATGATGATGATGATGATGGTGATGGGAGGGGAGGAGGAGGAGGAGGAGGAGGAGGAGGAGGAGGAGGAGGAGGAGGAGGAGGAGGAGGAGGAGGAGGAGGAGGAGGAAGAGGAGGTGTGACGCGGGGCGCTGTCTCTTCAAAACGAAGACCCAGCACCACAGGATGGTTGGGAACTAGCGCCCAAAACCTACAACGACACATGGTTTTGCAACGTCAGTTTTCAGATCATGCCTGCGCTCGCGTGTCTTCGGGGATCCGTAATGCAACCGTCAATTTTCAACGCTGCCATTAAATTCTGCCAAGCGGGCTTTTCGCGCCGCATGTCGAACTCATCCGAACGCCCTTGCGCGCGTGCTGATGGGGCACGGTTCGTGTCAAATCATATCATGCGGGCCACTCGCTCGCCTCGGCCGCGTGCGCATGCCGAAGTCCTTCCGGAAATTTCATCATCGACGCGAGGACACCGTCATCGTCGTCGGCGTGATCAACATCGGCGCCGTCACTGGCCTTGCCGCCGTCGCTGTCATCAGCGCCACGAGCATCGCTAATTTCATTATCGTGTCTACCGTTGTCGACGTTGCCATGATAACGCGCCCGCCCAAGTAGCCGATTCGCACTAGACTCTACCCCCCCCCGGCGTTATCGCCCCCCTTTTCGGGTATGTAAATCACAGATGATTCTGGCCACGTGTGCATCCTAAATATGAAATCGCAATGTCCCACGGCAGCCGGTATCCCCCCCTGAGGTTCCCCTGTAAAAAAAATATCCCGGCAAAGCAACCTAACAGCGATATGTAGAAGCATATCTGAAAGCATTCCCCTTCAGATTCAGATGAAAATCCAGTTGTAGAATTCTGCTGTTCTCGCGGTCGTAGTCGCATTCGCGATGACAGTCGCAGCGGCAACGGCAATCGCAGTCACAGCCTCAGCCTCAGCCTGCCTAAGCCTCAGCCTCAGCCTGCCTCAGCCTCAGCCTGCCTCAGCCTCAGCCTCAGCCTGCTTCAGCCTCAGCCTCAGTCTGCCTTCAGCCTCGGCCTCAGCCTCAGCCTGCCTCAGCCTCAGCCTGCATCAGCCTCAGCCTCAGCCTCAGCCTGCCTCAGCATCAGCCTCAGCCTCAGCCTCAGCCTGCCTCAGCCTCAGCCTCAGTCTGCTTCAGCCTCAGCCTCAGTCTGCCTTCAGCCTCGGCCTCAGCCTCAGCCTGCCTCAGCCTCAGCCTGCCTCGGCCGCAGCATCAGCCTGCCTCAGCATTCAAAATGTGGCCCAGGAATGGAGTTCTGGGAACTAGAAGAACACGAAGTGGCCTACAGTTGGC